AAGTAAGTAATGTTAATGTGCATTTTTGTTTGATAATTGTAATTTAAATGTAAATGAACTATTATGCAATAAACTTCACACACTAATGGTTTTGCATTAATGCACATGCTCTTAATATGTAATCAGGTCAATTCTGCTTAAAGGTGGTCGATCACACAGTGAGTATTGGAGAAAAATTAGACTGCTAAAATAAAATAAAATTAACCCATCGTTTTATTTTAGTTTTGAGGTCTTGTTTTTTTTCCTCTCAACACAAAATATGCCAGTATGTTGTTTGTGACTTAATTTTAAAAGTGATATTTTTGATTCATTTAAATGCACGAAGTGATGAAAAATAATTTTTTGATAAAAAAAAAAATACCGCTACTGAAAATACCATCTTATACCGTCATTTACTCTGTCGCCATCATACACTTCAAAAACCTTTACAAAGTTTCCTCGAGCTCTTCAGATTACTTTCCAGGTTCAACAGTAGGCTTTCATTCTGATCCAGTGGCAGATATAGATTCAGCTGGGTACAGAATCGAAAGTAAGGGGAAAAAACAGAAAATAATATTGCTATGTGAATTTATACTTGTAAGTAATTCGAATCTCCTTATACACACAACACAATAAAAACAAGGATCCAGATAACAGACCATGATGATATAAAAGAATATCAATTTTCTTTTTTTTTAAGAAGATATGTCTATGATTTTTATATATTTTTTCAAATCCAGTCTATGCATATTATGCTTCAAATTACATTCCTTAACCAACTGATATTTTGAAATGTCAATACTTTAGGTTAATTGATTGAAAACTACTTTTGGATTTCGCTATTTCAACAACAAAAAAATCAGTGTTAAATATCATCATTACACAACAACATTGATATCTAGACTGAAAGAGACATAAGTTTTAAGAAATGTGTAGTTTGTTTCCAAAATCCAAACAGTGTTAAAGGTAGAGATAACGAACAGTGATCAATCTCAAAAATCTTGCAAAAAATACTAATGAGAGATGGGATCAGGTGCCGAGAGGGCGAAACCATCCTCTGTCGACTGGTTACACCCATCGTTGTCCCTCTGAATTGATCAGGAAAACGGAGGAATTCGTAATCAAATATAGAATAAAACCAATGGCCTGTTATGAAGATAACGAACATAAATCATTTTCAAAAGTCCATTCAAACAATACAAATGAACAGAGACAAAACGGACCTCGAAACACAGAGGTGGGATCATAGAGGAGCCAGCATTCTCTGTCGAAAAGTCACACCCATCGTGTGCTCTTTGTCATGATCGGGTATATGGAAAAATCCGCAGACAATTCAGTGTGAAAAATATGGCCTAACTGTTCGTATGAAAGACGTAAGTCAACATTCGACTTTACTACAATACTGCATTTGCAAACAAGGTCTTTGTATCGATCATAGAGTTTTCGAAATGATTAACGAGATTGTGGTATCCTTGTATCATCAACTTCTAATAACCTTCCTCGATTTAGAAATTGCTCTTACGTAGAACATTCTCTTGCGTATCGAATCAACTGGAAGACAAACTCCATACGCAGGTGATAATTGTATATTGCTATAAATAAGGGAAGTTGTTAGTAAAACTAAAATGACGCTAAGCGGGCCTAGTGGTACGGTGTAAGCTTCAAGATCGAGAGGTCTGGATTCGATTCTCGGCTGCTCCGCGTCAAACCTAAAACGTAAACATAGGTGACTGTCACTTCACCAAACGTCCGGATAAGAAGTAAAAATCACGGGTCTTTCGCATGAGACCTTAAAAACCGAGAATTTTCACTGCTCAATGGCCCTGAGTGCCGAGTATATCTCTAAATTTAAAGCTCTTTATCGGCATACAGTGATGTCTCTATATCAGCTACAAATTCTCAAATGGGACGTTAAACAACATACAATCCATCAATAAAACGACCCGACGGTAAGTTGTATTATAACAATATCATAATCACAACTTTAAAAGAGATCTTAAAAGCCTATTTGTCGTTAACCTATCTCGGTTTAAAAATCAGTTTAGAGACACTTACACCATATGAAAGTGATAGTGACGATGGAAAACTAAGTCATCCCGTTTGTCATATATACATGTATTAGTATTTAGTTGGCTAATAACATTTATAGTCAGTGTAAAAAATCAAATATTAAACACGGATATTGCAGGCTCTGTGGTATCTATTATTTCGGGTTCACTGATATATATTTAGAGTAACTTTCATTAATAAAACGCAGTCGATGTTTCTAGATGTCGCCTGAAGCCCAAACCAGGCGTTTCATTTTTATCGTATTTCTTAATGTCTTTAACTTATTGTAAGTAATGGTTTTAAAATGTGTTGAAGTGTCATATGTTTGGTGGAAAAAGAATTTGAATTTCAAATGTTTCTACAAATTCTTTAGAGTTTTGAGAATCCACATTTGATTTACACTCATTTCAATCACTGTTCGTTATATTAAACTTTTTTACCGTAATACAGTATTCTCAAGTTTCTCCTTCACAGTAGTTTATATCTCATGTAGAGTGGTGTAATAATATACAGCAAATATAATATTCTAGTAAACAGTATTACGGTATTTCATTGATTTAAAAAAAAGACAATGGACATTGACTTATTAAAATAGGTAACATTATGTTTAGTTTAACCAGAAGAAATAAGGTCAAGGCCCCAGGATCCTGAAGCAGATTTATAATTACTTCAGAGTCTATACACTGACTTACAGTTTTAAAACAGAAAAACAAATAAAATTTGAAATGTTATTAAACCATAAGTCTCTGACGAGACTGTAGCTCTACTGATTTGTACTTATAACAAACTTGAAAGAAAGAGAAATGAAGCACTTGCACTTGAAACTATGCAACAGCAATAAATAGAATAATGGTCCTTGGTTTAGTCTATTTGGGGCAAGATTTATTGCAATTAAACTAAAACCGTAGAAGGAGTAGCATTCTGAAAATATTTCACAGAAATTTCTACTTTTAGTAATTATGGCAAGACCTTTCAACAAAATCAATTGTACGCTCTTTTTTGACATCATTCAGACATTTATAATTAGTAATTTTAGATATTGATTGTACAACTGATTTTGTTGAAAGGTCTTGCCATAATTACTAGAAGTAGAAACTTATGCATCAATATACCTTCATCACCTGCATATGAGGAGTGTATCTCTCAGTTGATTCGATACGCAAGAGCATGCTCTACGTATGAACGATTTCTAAAACGAGGTAAGTTATTGACAAACAAGTTGATGAAACAAGAATATCAACAGTTTCCTTTAAAGTCATCATTTCGTAAGTTCTACGGTCGATACAATGACCTTGTCAGCAAATACAATTTATCATTAAGTCATATGCTGATAGCGTTTTTCATACTAATTTTTAGGCCATTATTAAGACACTGAATCGTTCCGTTATTTCCCGATCATGACAAGGAGCACACGGTGGGTGTGACCAGTCGGCAGACTTTCTTCACTCCTCTATGGCACCTGACTGATGTTTTTGGCGGTCCATATTTGCTCTGCTCCCGATTTGTATTGTTTTAATGGACTTTGTGCTTGAATACTATTCGTTACCTCCATATTTCATTCACTATATTTCGAAACGATTCCTCATGTTTTGCAAATAAAAAAAATTCAAATGATCCTTGATCGATTGCGGAAAGGAAATGTAACCCATCGCAGTTTGTGATTGTAAAAGGACGGTTCTAATTTTTCGTTTCGATTTTGAGTTATGCTGTACACAATATACATGTACTTCTCAAAAGATCCTTGATATAACCAGTCAGGAGTGATTTAAGTTAAAGAGTGCTGAATAATTTTTACCGGCCGCAATTTTTGGTTGTGTTAGAATGTTCGGGAAATAAGACGTTATTACTTTATTGCTTTGATGGAATAATTCCTTATTGATAACAAACATAAAAGTTATGAATAAAAGTTTTAACATTTTGCTTAATATTAAGTCTAAATGGTTATTATAACGTTTCAATTTGTTTTTCGTTTCCCATCAGATACTTATTAATTTATGATTTTATAAAAAGTTATTATATGAACTGCTCCCCAACATTGGCGTGCGTAAGATTAAAAAAACGTACTAAGATATGAATTAGAGTGCCTAAAATAATTAATAAACTGAAAAAGTGTAAGGGATGGTAAATTTTGTTTTGGAAACACTCCGCAAATGACACAATGCTTTTTTTGCTGAACTTCACTTATTCTGATACATATTATAACGAGACAAAGATCCAGGATATCAGGAATATAAGTTTGTCATCATTCAGACATTTATAACTAGTAATTTTAGATTGTTGCATTCGTGTATGAATCAAATAATTTGATGAACATATATTCCTTTCCTTTTAGCTCAGTCCGATTTTCATTTCCATGAATTTATTTGATTGATATTTAACAAATGATCACTGAAAATTAAAGTAAAGAAAATGCACAGAAAAATAAGACAAGTGTACAGTTTGCAATAAAAAGGTATCGTATACTTTTTGTATTTTGATTTTTTTTTTAATTCGGACTCTTTTTGTGTTAATACTTTAAATGCTAAATTATATATTTTTTGCGGCCGATTTGATGCTTTGCGTCGATTTAACTTGTTAAAGGTAGCCCGCTTGGCGCAGTGGTTAGAGCGTCTGCTTTAGAGTCGCGAAGTAAGGAGTTGATCCTTACGTCGCGGGTTCGAATACCACTGTGGGACGTGGAGACCGGTCCTTCGGATGAGACTGTATAAACCGAGGTCCTGTGTCGCAGTATGTGCTGGCACGAAAAAGATCTTTCACTGCTCAATGGCCGTAAGTGCCGAGTATAGGATAAAATTTGCAGCTCTCCACCGGCAAGTGGTGGCGTCTCCATATGAGTGAAAAATTCTCGAGAGGGACGTTAAACAACAAACAAACAAACAAAAACTTGTTAAAGGTTTGTGTTCAGTCTACGGAATTATGGGAATTTCGTGTATGCTTAGTATGTATATAAAAATAATACTTTTTACAGGAGTTCACTTTGTTATGTTCTTCAAAAATGACGTCATCCGGATGGTGTACTCGGTTCCTAGTCGACTGTTTTCATCACCTTGCCATGTTCCTGAGCAATCCTTAAAGAAAGTCAGACCATTTGATGAAATCCCGGGTCCCTCTGGTCGTTACAGCATACCTTTTATTGGACAAGTGTTTCACTATGAGCCTTTCGGTAAAGTTTGCATCTATTTAATGATAGATTTAAATATGATACAGAACGCAAAGGTTTTAGCTTTTTTTGTCTTTGTTTGGCCGGGGGTGGGGGTGGGGGATTCAGAATCAATCAAAACATAGCTTATTCCTATCCCTGTCCAATATGTTCTCTTCTGTGTTATAGGTCAGTATTTACCAAGCACTTTCACAGATTTTCTACGTGATCTGCACTGTCAATATGGGCAAATAGTCCGCCAGAGGGCAGGCATGGACTGGATGGTCTTCTTGTTTAATCCTGTCGATATACAGCAAATTATGTTTCATTATGAAAAATATCCCCTCCGACCCACGCCTCATTTAATGTATTCATACGCCAAACGGAAAAATGTTCCATTAAGTATGGCATTTCTGTAAGTATACGCTCTGCACCATGATGTGGTTTGCAAGAATTTTGGAATTCTACTTAATAATTCAATTAAACCAAAAGCTTTTCTGATCGAAATTTGTCTGTTGTCTGTCACATGAAGGACACATGGGAGACAATGAATTAGAAATTCAGGAAAAATAGGGTTGGATCATATAAAAGCATTCTCAAGAACCACTGGACTAAAAAAAGAGGATTTTTTTGAAAGCTTCCTAAGCGTAGGTTGAAGTTCTGTTCAAAGCATAGCCTAATCATGGCCCATAGGGGTAAGCGGGGTTAAAATGGGAATATATATATATATATATATATTTATATATATATATATATATATATATATATATATATATATATATATATATATATATATATATATATATATATATATATATATATATATATATATATATATATAATTTTATATATATATATAATTTAATTTTGTTTGTATTCTAGCCTCTGATTGGTTAATATCCAAAAAGGAACACAAATTATTTCTGCATAACCTGGTTTGGTATGGGGACACCCCCCCCCCCTGACAACCAGCTGAATCATCTGTATCCATACAATCCTCTCATTTCCAGTCCTCGGGATTCATGGAAAATTCCAGATTTAATAAATGTACCTTTAACTTCAAACAATAATTCGATCTTACCACATGTAAACGAACAACAAGGCTGCTAGGCCTATGCATCAGTTTTTACCTCCCCTCGCTTCCCATCACTTCCGTTAATTCCGTTACTATGGTTGTATTATTGAGCGGCAAATTTGAACTAATAAAAAGCAACGAAATTATACACCCATAGTTATTTAATGATTTTAAAATTAAATTATAAGGAATGACTCTAATTCTTGGCCAAATTATTCGAGTATAACCTGGTTTGGGTCAGTTTACGCTGTTTTATAATCCGTTTTGCGGATTATAAAGCGTAAACTGACCCAAACCAGGTTATACGCGAATAATTTGGCCAAGAAGTAGAGTCATTCCTAAAATATATTAGGAATGACTCTACTTCTTGGCCAAATTATTCGCGTATAACCTGGTTTGGGTCAGTTTACGCTTTATAATCCGCGAAGCGGATTATAAAACAGCGTAAACTGACCCAAACCAGGTTATACGCGAATAATTTGGCCAAGAAGTAGAGTCATTCCTTATAATTTAATTTTAAAATCATTAAATAACTATGGGTGTAAAATTTCGTTGCTTTTTATTAGTTCAAATTTGCCGCTCAATAATACAACCGTAGTAACGGAAGTACCGGAAGTGATGGGAAGCGAGGGGAGGTAAAAACTGATACATAGGCCTAGCAGCCTTGTTGTTTGTTTACATGTGTTAAGATCGAATTATTGTTTGGTACATTCATTAAATATGGAATTTTCCATGAATCCCGAGGACTGGAAATGAGAGGATTGTATGGATACAGATGATTCAGCTGGTTGTCAGGGGGGTGTGTCCCCATACCAAACCAGGTTATACAGAAATAATTTGTGTTCCTTTTTGGATATTAACCAATCAGAGGTTAGAATACAAACAAAATTAAATTTTATATATATATATATATATATATATATATATATATATATATATATATATATATATATATATATATATATATATATATATATATATATATTTTTTTTTTTTTTTTTTTTTTTTTTTTTTTTTTTTTTTTTCCCAGCAGAATGCATATTAATATTTACATCATATCTTATATCATCTCTTAGACATGATAACTTGTGTATATTTAAGAAATAAGGTATCATTTTTAAACATCTATCGGGATATAAATACGGGTTGGTCACGAGATCAAATTCCATAAAGCCCGAAGGGCTTTATGGTAAATTTGATCTCGTACCAACCCGTATTTATATCCGATAGATGTTTAAAAATGATACATTATTACTTATATTTACATTTATGACTTATTCATATTTTATATTTTCCTGATTATAATCTTTCACGCGTGAAATGTTTTATTTTTCAAACTCAACGGCACGTATTTGATCCATTGTTTGCGCGTCGACCCTTTATGACGTCACTGAGAAATTACGTCGAACGTTTATGATGCGAGGAACCTGTGTTTATACGGATATAGATACGCGTTGCTTTCAATAGTGTTATATAAGGGAAAACATTTGCAAATGTAAATATATCAGAATGAAAAAGAATTTCACAAAATAACCTAATCTATTCTCTTCAGTCATAACACTTTATATTTACCTTTCTAAAACTACAGTACACCACACAATATTAAAAGCCAGACTTGTTTGGAAAAGGGGATGTAATATATTCATTTTATTAACCCTAGTATACCTAATTTCATTTCTTAATTTATTGTTCTATTTTTTTAAGGAGATGCTACTTTACTTTTTACCTGCCCAACAGTTATTATCTGTCTTTTTATAAGCTAGTATTCCTTACACTAGGTAACCAGCTGGTAACTATAGCACCTCTAGGAGCCTTACATGTAACAGAAGTTCAGGATGACTCAATGTCTCCTTTTCTTTTTTCCAGCATATTCCAAATAAATCACACATCCGATGACGAATAGATAGCTTATGTTTCAATGTAGTAAACTCAAAAATGCCCCTCCATATCCTGTATGAGCAGGGATCAATCCTGGTATTTCTAATTTTGTGAGCAGTTATAACAGTCCCTAACGTGCTCTGGTGTCTTTCTTTCACTGATATATATATACATATGAAAATATACACATTCATTCATTGTCAAGGCGGTGATGATATAATTTTCCACAAGAAATCTTTGAAAGTGCATGATTTACAAAGCACAACAGGAGACTACCATTTTAACAGGAGAGCTAACAAAGGGGGATTAACCCTTCAAGTATTGCTAAATATTACAAGAGTTACCAAAAGGGAAGTTACTCTTTCAAGTATTGCAGAAAGAATTTTTTTTTTAAAATAAAGTTTATGCTTTTAATTTTCATTATATGTACAATATATCATGATTAAAAAATAAACAGCAGGGTCATCATAAGCCATATATGCAAGAATCCTCAGGTTGTGCTGATTCATAACCGTTCAGTTTTTGGTTCCATTGGGTAAAGTGGGGTCACAAAAGGGGATGAAAATTTTACATTCAAATATAAAAATCTGACAAAATGATTTTAAAAAAAGATAAACGCTGCATCATGAAAACGTTTCATGGAATGTAACATTAAATGCTTTGTACATTTTAAGGAACAAAGAGAAGTGGGTGGAAGCACGTAAACCCATTCAGGAAGTCATCCTCAAACCTTATGTTGTTTCCAAATACTTCAGTGAGTTTACTGACATAGTGGATGATTTTCTGATGTGTAGAATCGATAGGGACAATCGGATTGCTGATGTTCTGGAGGAACTCACGCGACTCACAATGGAAAGTAGGCATTCGTTTCCTGGTCTTATATCAATTTTTAAAGCCAGTACAGAATAAATTCAAACATCAAAAGTGGTATTTACAATTATTATTGATGGTTTTTAAAGTGACGTAATTTACAATATTATTAATTATTCCATTTGCAGATTCTGGGATATTATGTTTTAACAGACGTCTTGGTAGTTTTTCCCATGACCGACAAGAACTTCTTTCAAACATTAAAGATGTGCATGCTTATTTGGGACAATCGTTTGATATCTTCCCGTGGTACTGCCTGTTTCCAACTAATTTCTATTTAGATTTTGAGAGAGCCTATGATACAGTTCGAAACACGGTATATAATTTTATAGAAATTAAGACAGGTTATCTCTCTTTTCTTAAGTGGCATAAGACTACAAATGATCAATTATTCTCGCCATGGCATGTTTTATCCACAGATAGACACGACAAAGCCTTAATGAGTGTCTAGAGACAATCAACTTCAAACGCGGGATGATCTCCAGAGGCCTGCAAGATTTCACATTCTTAGAGAAGTTAATATTGGATCATAGAATGACACATGACAGTGTGGAGAGCGCCATAACGGACATGTTTATTGCAGGAACGGACGCGGTGAGATTTCCGTAAAATTCATATAAAATTTAGTTAGAAGGTATGTACATGTACCGTTCAAAGTGTCTAATTGCAGTATTCAATCTATAATTTGTTTAAGAACTATCAATACAAAACGTTAGATCTTTACCCTGTGGTATCAACACGCACCTGCTTTCTTCAGTCTTTATTAATGTATGATAATTCACTTCCAGACAGCCAACGCCTTGTCATTCGTCCTTTATCATTTAGCGAAGAATCCCTTGGTGCAGGACCGACTGTATGAAGAGATAACGCGCTGTTGTACAAATGGTCTGATCTGTGAATCTTCTTTTGCAGACATGCCTTATCTTAAGGCTTGTATAAAAGAATCCCTTCGGTATATTATTCTGTACTGTGCCTCTGAATCTGTGCTAAATAATATACATTCAAACTTATTTATTCAAATGAATTGTGTAACGATCGATATATTGCAGACTTGTTCCTCCTTTGAGAGATGGTGTGCGTCGACACGTGGAAAAAGACACAGTGGTTGCCGGCTTCCATATACCAAAAGGAGTGAGTTATAAATTATATACTAAGATATATCAAAGGATGGTTACTGGTTGATCCAGAGTTATGTATTCTCTTGCTTTCCTCAAGCCCGTGTCGCATTTCAAACAAAGTTTGTTTGTTTGTTGGTTTTTTTTTTCATTTTCAAACCGAACATTTTATATTGTCTTTTACTGTACACAAAAACCTCCTTCTCAATTTTTTTGTTTGAAAAAAAAAATAATTTCAATAAAAAGAATAATGAGTATTAACTTACTTTTCCAACACTTTTGATAAATGTATGGGGAAAACCGTTTACTAAGTATGGTATCATAACGTAGATTTACCAAATCCCAAAATGAGTTAAGGAGAGATTCTCGTCTGGTTTCTGACTAGATGAAATATTCAAAGAATATTTGCTTATATGTTTTATATTTTTAGATGTAAAAGATTTAAAAAGATCATATTTTTTTTCCTCATCACAATTGTACAACTTTAAATAGAAATGGTAAACTGAGTTTGAAATCTAGCAGGGACTATATTTTTGGCAGAATGGTGGCGTATGAAACTATCTTCTTTTCTGCCTCTCAAAATTATTATAGAACAATGAATTTAGGTATAATTTTTACACAATCAAAGACTTGAAGAAATTTTTAAATGTAAGTTACATTAATAATAAGGGACTAAAGTTTTTATATATATCAAATAAATATGATTTTTCAAACAAACTACAATTATGTAAGCTTTTAAACGCTTCCAATCTAAGTACAGATTTGAGCAAAAAATCTGTAAAAAGTGTTTTTTCTCTCTTACTTAGCGATCAAAACTTTTTGTTTTTATATCATTTTGTGTCTTTGAGTGACAACTTTACCATATGTAAAAATAAGAAAAATTTGAATATAGGAAGCATATAAAAATAACTAAAATATCCTAAAAATTTAAGAAAAATAGAGAAAATTCGGATTAGCCAATATCCATTTTAGTTAAATTATTGTCAATTTGGTAATACCATCTTATAGACCCTATATGGTAATATCTCTTTATGCAAAAAGAAAAACATTTAATCTTTTGAAATAGAAGTAGGCATCGCATGATTTGCAACAGTAATTTTTTATTCTTAATGTCCAGGGAAAAGGTAATGACCTTGACCTGACCTTGCCTCTAATATAAAACGGTCAAATTTAATCTAACTGATGCCATCATTTAGTGATACTGTCTTCTTGATTCTGTGAAAATTTCATTGATTTTTAAATACTAGAAATATGAGAAGAATCCCTCCTTAATGTATAGCACAATCCAGAATGACATTTTCGCTTCAGCCATTTTCTGATCATATCTATTGGTGGTACATAATTTGGTGTCTGTGGACCAGTGTTGTAACCACTATTGCAATAACGAACACTATATTTAAAATAATTTTTTCAATAGTTGCCGTTATTTCAATAGCAGTTTTATGTGTGATCACTATTGAAATAACACATACACATGTACTTAACTTTTATTAGCTCACCTGAGCTGAAAGCTCGAGTGAGCTTTTCTGATCACCAGTTGTCCGTCGCCCGTCTGTCTGTCCGTTCGTCTGTAAACTTTTCACGTTTTCAACTTCTTCTCAATAACCACTGGGCAAATTTTAACCAAACTTGGTACAAAGCATCCTTGGGTAAAGGGAAGTTTAAATTGTTAAAATGAAGGGACAAGTCCTCTTCAAAGGGGAGATAATCAAGAAAAGACAAAAATTAGGTGGGGTCATTAAAAATTTCTTCTCAAGAACCACTGGGCCAGGAAAGCTGAAACTTATGTGGAAGCATCCTAGGGTAGTGTAGATTCTAAATTGTTCAATTCATGACCCCCGGGGGTAGGGTGGGGCCACAATAGGGAATCCAAGTTTTACATTGAAATATGTAGTAAAAATCTTTAAAAATCTTCTCCTCAAGAACCACTGGGCCAGGAAAGCTGAAACTTATGTGGAAGCATCATTGGGTAGTGTAGATTCTAAATTGTTCAAATCATGACCCCTGGGGGTAGGGCAAGGCCACAATAGAAAATCAAGTTTTACATTGAAATATGTAGTAAAAATCTTTAAAAATCTTCTCCTCAAGAACCACTGGGCCAGAAAGACTGAAACTTATGTGGAAGCATCATTGGGTAGTGTAGATTCTAAATTGTTCAAATCATGACCCCTGGGGGTAGGGCAGGGCCACAATAGGGAATCCAAGTTTTACATTGAAAAATGTATTAAAAATCTTTAAGAATCTTCTTCTCAAGAATCACTGGGTCAGAAAAGCTGAAACTAATGTGGAAGCATTCTGGGGTAGTGTAGATTCTAAATTGTTCAAATCAAGACCCCCAGGGGTAGGATGGGGCCACAAGAGGGAATCCAAGTTTTACATTGAAATATGCAGAAAAAATCTTTTAAAATCTACTTCTCAAGAACAACTAGGTAGAAAGGCTGAAACTTATGTGGAAGCATCCTGGGGTAGTGTAGATTCTAATTGTTCAAATCGTGACCCCTGGGGTAGGGCGGGGCAGCAATAAGTACTGGAGGGGGGTGAGAGAAGTCAGGTGAAAACAGCAAGGCCAAAGTTACTCAGGTGAGCGTTGTGGCCCATGGGCCTGTTGTAAAAATTATTATAATAGACCCGTCTAGATTTGGATTTACTATCTATATTGGTACTATATAGGTAAATCCACGACTGTGTACAATGTTTCCTTTCAGACAACGTTGGTATTTTGCAATAGCATCATATCCTCTGACAAGAACTATTTCCCGGAAGCCCATGAGTACAAACCTGAGAGGTGGCTCCGGAATTCGCCCTTACGTAGGAATATCCATCCCTTTGCCGTTCTCCCCTATGGTTTTGGTCGCAGAAACTGTATCGGGCAAAGATTTGCTGATCTCCAAATGCGCATATTCATTGTTAAGGTATAAATGACATTTATTCAGTGTAAAAAAGAAAAATAAAAATAAAAATAAAAAGGTAAAATATATATAACGTGATAGAATGTACCACTTTGCCGTATACACATGTATATGGTGCAATCTGCAATTGAAATTCCTATTCAAATGTGTAAAATTTTGTCTAATTATTGCAGTACTTCGCCGGTCTAGCATGCATGAATTATCTTACAAATCCCTATATATTGGCATCAATGAAAAGGTTTTTTAAATGTGCTTTTCGCTAAACACATTGAAGAAATACAGATACTGTATAGGGGGAAAATAACTCGCGGTGTTAATATTCGCTATATTCACGGTGTTAATAAATCCGTGAATTCAAGAAACAGTGAATAAGTTTTAAATATTAAACCTCGATGTTTTATTTGGAAATTTGAGAATAGACTACGATAGGTATATATACGTACAATACATGATCATTCAGTAATTACGAGTATAGTACTTGTCATTCAATTATGTTAATTATCACGCTTTACTTTAATTCAAATAAGCAGCTAATTACCAAAAGTTGTTTTAATAGATACATTTTCATCAGTCAAAACGCATGGGTCATCGGTTTTGATTACCCGTGCGTAACGTTACCACGTGTATTTGTTACCTGCATTAGCATTATGCGCATTAGTTTTTATGGAAATTTTGGTTTAAAAAATATTATTCGAATAACTATCGAACTTGCTGAAGATATGGAAGGATATCATTAAGTCTACCTACATTGATTCCAGTGTCTTTTTTTTTCGCTGCGATGTGTTATACCTTCGGAAAGATGTACGTACACATGCACTTATAGGAAAGTCATTTGACGTTTATTGTCAAAAAAAATTGTTTTGATTAATCATAATTAACTACTAAATCTAATCATTTTATATAAATCTACCCTGTTCGTGAAGTGAATACATAATGCTGATAAATGTCGTTCTAGCTATACTATGGATTACACGGATAAAGACAAAGGAGGTAACTTTTATCATATACCGATTCCGCGAATTCAACAAACCGCGATCGTGTCCGAGGAGAGAAAAACGTGAAAATTACAACCCGTGAAATTAATCCCCTATACAGTAGTCCATCACTTCGGATGTCACAGGATTCGAACAAGTGACAAATCCAGTATTTAGCATTTATTTTAATTTCACCTCGTATTTGTTTATATATAGAGAGAGAGAGAGAGAGAGAGAGAGAGAGAGAGAGAGAGAAAGATTTCCACTCTTGACCTGTCCCCTTTTTGTTCTCTTTTAGCTGCTTCAGAATTTTTCGCTAAGCCTTGCTGAGAAAGAAGAGCAACTGCCATACAAGTACACAATATTTGCTGCACCTTCAAAAAAGTTCTCTTTACAGCTAGAGAAAAGAATCAAGAGACAAGACGATGTCAGATGCGTTGCAAAGGGGTAAAAAATGAATTCAAAATGGAGGAAGTCAGTATGTCCTGAAAAGTTGTATCATAACAATTAAGATGAAAAGCCTTTTGCTTGAAGGCATGGGCTTCCTTGGGAGAGAATTACGTTCGTGCATTTGTTTTAATCAATGGTGTATTTTCTGCATGAGAAAAAAATTTAAAATTCTTTACCTAAGAATAAAAATGAGATATATTTCATCTGGAACCGTACTAAATGTCAGGATTTAAAGCAAAGAACAATTATTTCTATCAATGTAGACTAGGAAAATTTTTGAACACAGTATTTTTATTCCAAATGATAAAAAAAATATTCTTTTTTGATTGGCAATTAATTGGTTTATCATGTGATAGCCAATCCTGAATCATGTCATAATTTGCATAACCCGCTTTAGCAAGAATAAGTACTTGTAAACATTTTTAAAAATTGAATGAATATACATACATAGATAAAATTAAAAGAAAAATAGATACACACATTCCCTGTAATCATATGTTAATATTACAATTACTAAGAGCCAATTTGATGTTTGAAGTGTATGAAACTACTTGATTAAACATAAGCCAAATTGCAAAATAAAAAAAAAGTTGCCTACATAATGTTAAGGAGGGATTCTTGTCTGGTTTCTGACTAGATGAAATATTCAAAGTATATTTGCTTATATGTTTTATATATTTAGATGTAAGAGATATAAAAGATCATATTTTCTTTCCTCATCACAATTGTACAACTTTAAATAGAAATGGTAAACTGAGTTTGAAATCTAGCAGGGACTATATTTTTGGCAGAATGGTGGCGTATGAAACTATCTTCTTTTCTGCCTCTCAAAATTATTATAGAACAATGAATTTAGGTATAATTTTTACACAATCAAAGACTTGAAGAAATTTTTAAATGTAAGTTACATTAATAATAAGGGACTAAAGTTTTTATATATATCAAATAAATATGATTTTTCAAACAAACTACAATTATGTAAGCTTTTAAACGCTTCCAATCTAAATACAGATTTGAGCAAAAAATCTGTAAAAAGTGTTTTTTCTCTCTTACTTAGCGATCAAAACTTTTTGTTTTTATATCATTTTGTGTCTTTGAGTGACAACTTTACTATATGTAAAAATAAGAAAAATTTGAATATAGGAAGCATATAAAAATAACTAAAATATCCTAAAAATTTAAGAAAAATAGAGAAAATTCGGATTAGCCAATATCCATTTTAGTTAAATTATTATGTCAATTTGGTAATACCATCTTATAGACCCTATATGGTAATATCTCTTTATGCAAAAAGAAAAACATATAATCTTTTGAAATAGAAGTAAGCATCGCATGATTGGCAACAGTATTTTTTTATTCTTAATATCCAGGGAAAAGGTAATGACCTTGACCTGACCTTGCCTCTAATATAAAACGGTCAAATTTAATCTATCTAATATCATCACTTAGTGATATTGTCTTCTTGATTCTGTAAAAATTTCATTGATTTTTAAATACTAGAAATATGAGAAGAATCCCTCCTTAAGCCCCTAGAACATATTTAGTCTCGCCGTGTAAAGGTGAGCAAACTTTTGCCTTACTGTTCAGATTGATTTATTGTATGTGGACAGTAATGATGCGACAAGTTTCTCTTTTATACTTGTTTTACATCTATCAACTAAATAAAACCCCTCACCAAGCAGTCTATTTACTGGTAAACATTAATCCACGGATTATTGGATTTGACTAGATAGCTTTTCCTGGCGATTGATTTCCACATAAGAGGGCTACACTAACATCAAACCCCGTCATAATTTATAAAGATTTTCAATTCAGAACCGCAGTAGGGAGTTCTTTTTAATATTCTTTTATAAACTCGTCAATTCACAAACATTCATTTTACCCTTGTCGCTTTGCATTAGATTTCAATGACTCGATTCTTCAGCATTTGTAAATTTACAAACCAGCGGTACGGACCACAAATTCATGTCATTCAAGCGTTTGTAATTTGTGTAAAATATCATTCAAGAAAAAAGAGCTTATAAGAAAACGACTGGATGCTGTCGTCATCTTTGTGCAGCATATTTTCGTTCACGGCACGACACGTCTGGGACTGAGGCAGTCGTGAGATTCAAGTAGATTGTCTGCAATCAGGAAACAAGAAGTCCTATTTCCACTTTTGTCTGTAACATTTTCACATATATTGAATAATGAGACCTTTTTTGTTTTTAAATGTTTTACATTACTCAAGAAAACGAATTGATTAATGGATTTCTTAATTCCACAAGCATATGATATAGATATTTGGAATAATGAAAATTCATCGTATTTAGGAAAAACCTCATAAGTCCATGGACATTTGTTATCTGTAGAGCTAATGGTCTGTTTTTTTCCCTAAATATGAATTTTCATTTGTCCAACCAGAGTTGTTTTATGTGCACAAAAAAGAAGTCGGGATTCCTTGATTTAGTGATGGTTTTCTGTATATATGTAGATATTGATAAAGCGTTGCATGTGTTAACAGAGAGTGATGTTTTTATAAATAGCTATTTTCTGTTCAATATTTAATTTCGAATATATATATATATATATATATATATATATATATATATATATATATATATATATATATATATATATATATATATATAGTCTGTGTGTGTATTTCATCTCTTTATGTAATAAGTTTTACTGTCGAATAAAAGAAAAGCCTATTATAATATCATCCAGAAAATAATCGTAGAATTCCTGTTTAATTTTTTGTTTTTACTATTCGGTATTTTGTTAGCTCATTTTTTTTAGTTATATGTTTGTAAAATTAAATAAAGGAACCATCTCTTTTCCCTCTTGTCAGTAGCTACACTTTATATTTGTGTATATCATTGTTTATGAAATGCAAATATTAAATCATTTTTCTTTTGTTGCTTTTTAGTTACTCTTTTATCATATGCCTTGTTGAATTTTATACATTTGAAGTTTATAGAAACAATTTTATGACATTTAAATCAGCTTCTCTGGCGTCTTTATTAAGAAGCGATATCAATTAATTCTACCTTTCATCAGTGATATATTATACGACCTTCTTCTTTCATTCGACATCGCTTCTCCTTTAAGCGTCATTAACACACACTGAGTGCTTACAAATGGCGTGGAATATACCGGCGCCGGGACACAGACACGAGCGCGCCTTCCAAGTTAGAAATGTTTTCCCTTTTATTATTCAACATTGTCTGCCTTGTAGGGAACTCGGTAGGATAAGCTGGAGATCAGAGGAATGTGGTGAAAAGGTCCTCTATAACACAATAACTGACGACTGTTACATCCCCTGCACATTAAGATAGGTGTCTGTCAATTTGGGGGTTCTTCTGTATATGCTTAAATCATCTTCAAACATCCATTCCTTTATAAAAATTAACATTTACAAACTTTAGGGCATGTCAAAGGCATCTGTTTAAAACAAAATGGGCAATTACTAGAACAGTATTTACGAAAGTCTTAAAAATCTCTTTGCAGTTATATTTTTCTCCCCCTCAATATTGACTAAAACATACATTGTATTTTCCAAGTACATGTATACATGTTTGTGTTATTTTCGGATATGATAAAGGAGTTGTGTGGTTGCCTTTCTGAGTTTTAGCATGAATTGCCTCAGAATGACAGTAAAATACTTCTATGTAAAATAATGAATTCTTAAAAAATGCAAACATGGTCATATTATCAGCTTTACATCTTAACCAGTATTTGCAGTTTTTTTTTTTTCTTTGTTGCGAGAACATGAAAAATGAAGTTTTATTTGCCGACAGAAAGGTTTCCCCATCTGTTGCTGATTGAGACATCTAATCATGTAACCGTCCCATCATACTAGTTATAGAAATCAAGCGTCGCTGGTCTTCATATGACGAGGCCCTGCAACCTTTCAAACGGTTTTATGGCGTCTCCATTTGTAAGGCTCAGCAGGATGGGGACAAAATGTAATAACGCCAAGCAAAACGCTATCAGCTGAGATTTGGCGGAACCACTCACGCGCAATCTACCGTCATGTAATACGACATTTCAAAAGTTGCACATCCGTGAAGAAATTAAAATAAGTTTCACAAGATTTGCCTTGAAGAAAGGGGAGATTACTCTTGCCATTTGTAAGGACAAACTCTAATTCTGTTTACACTAAACTTTTAGGATCAATCAACGTTTGTCGAAAGGTATTTTCAGGTAAAATGGTTACCCACCAAGAATCTGGCAAAAGATTAATCTCTTTGTATACGCATCTGTGGTTATGTCTTCGTTGACACATTCAGAATAGAAGTCAAATGTAGAATGATACATAAAACATACTGTAAATGTAGTATAGATGTGAAATATTATGTACATTTACATTAAATGTAATTATATAAGAAATTAAACGTCATAGAGTATAACTAATGACGTAATGTAAAACGGTATAAACTTAAAACGTAACGTTAACAACGCTAAGATTTCATAAGTTCATGATGTCATTCATACATAAATTACGTCGCCAAACTACTACCTACTTTAAATGCAGAATATTTACATTCAGTGTGATTTTCTTTATGAAATCCATTAGAAATCTACAACGTTCAAATCTCTATAACACACACGAAACCTTGTCACTGCGCGGTAGAATACACCTGTCAGTAGGAACTATATGCATTTTGAATACTCTAGGAACACCAAAATTTATATTGTTTTGACTCAATTTAAATTTAAAAAAAAGAAAGAAAGAAAACTTTTAATGTTGTCACTGTAATATAGATACAGAAGTAAACGTAAACATAATAACAGTACTGTTACCCTATTACTGAAGTCAGAATATATTGCATGCTACTATATATACTTCTGCATAGAAAGTTACATAATTTACGTTGTACAGGTTATGCAGGATGTTTAATACTGTTATAGAAGTCACATGATATAAGCAGGATGTTACATACCATTCCTCTAGTCACATGATGTTAGTAGGATGTCAATTACTGTTATAGAAATCACATGATGTTAGTAGGATGTTACACACTGTTATAGAAGTCACATGATGTTAGTAGGATGTTACAAACTGTTATAGAGATCACATGATGTTAGTAAGATGTTACAAACTGTTATAGAAGTCACATGATGTTAGTAGGATGTTACATACTATTATAGAGATCACATGATGTTAGTAAGATGTTACACACTGTTATAGAAGTCACATGATGTTAGTAGGATGTCACATACTGTAATTGAAGTCACATGATGTTAGCAGGATGTCACATACTGTTCACAGGAAGAAACAAGACCTTTCAGTAAAAACTGAAAGGCGGCTTTCAGTGACTTTTCAGTGGCCATTCAGTCAATGAATGGCAGGTATATTTCAGTGACCTTTCGGTTACTTTTCATCCACATTTTAGGTACCTTTCAGCCACATTTCAGTTATCTTTCAGTGACCTTTTCGCTCCATTTCCGTCGTCTTTCAGTCGCCTTTCAGTGACCTTACAGTCATAATTCAACAACTTTTCATCGGCTTAGTAATTATTCCCTAACAATTTAATAAATTTATTCAAATCTTTAATGAATGTGTTTCTGTTATACTTATTGTGATAAGAATATTCAGGTACGTTGAACTGGTAATGATTAGATGTTAAACTGTCTTTAAATTGCTTATTTTAAAAAATCTTAAATTGTGATTATAGACTATAAAATTTATGTCTAAATATAACTTTATTAATATTAAAATTACAATTTAACTGTGGACTCACAAAGTTGAAAATGATTTTTGAATTTCTAATTTGTTGCATGAAAATTGATTTTAGAAAAAGAAAACTATTTAAATGACAAAAGATAATGATCCAATATTCGTTTCAGAATTTCGTTAACTGACATAGATTGTCTTTTTTTCTGTAAAATCTTTTAATCAGTAATAAATATTTTCGCAAGCTTATTCAATTTAATAAGTTGTTAAATAAATAAACAATCAGTAAACTTAAAAAAAAAAACGATAATATCTGTCAAAATATGCTCTTCATATCAACAAGGAAAAACGTTTCTTCTTCTTTTTTTTCAGCCGTAATATATAGTTTTTCATTATTCTTATGTCCATCCGACACTGTCTAATGTGGTTAGTTTTCATGATATTATATATTTCGCAGTGAAAGAAGAGACAGAATTAATTATTTTTTCTTGTTGAAAAACTTGATATTGTAAATTCTGTTTCTTAATTGTTAAAATCACATGTTATTTTAGCTTTTAAATATATTGTTTTAAAATATTTTTACATAATTTTCTAGATAAATAATTTAAATCGTTCTCCGAGGTTAAGATTTATCTTGAATCATTTCTTTAAGAAACAGGTGCCTGTCGCCGATTGTCATCATCCCGATACGAGATGTGTAATTAATTAGTCTGTCCTCAAAATCCGCGCAATTAACATAGAATTTATAAAATGTATACAAGATATATACACATCGCCAAGCTCATCGATACAACAGGTGAACAACGTGTCTCAATTCGATTTCAAACACTGTGTACTGAAAATCAAAGTATTGGAAGATTATGCCAGTAGATCGGTCAGATATGAAGGAGGTGACTTTTACACTTTCTCAGAATGGATAAAAAGGAATGCCAAAGAATTTGATACATTACATGATCAATATGTACTGATTCCAGCTGACAAAGTAGGTAATACACAGTCTTTCTGAGGTTCATTATAACAATTGCATTTAGGAGGAACTTAGATAAGTCTACAAGAGGTAATCCAACTAACATGTATACTCTTAGTTCCCTTCCAAAGAATACACATTTCAGTTTTAAATGTTTTCCATACTTCTGACAACTAAATTGACTCTGAATTACCAGAGACATTAATAACATTGTTATTTATGTCTCTGGAATTACCCTACCTAGATTGGATTCCAAATCGTATCTTGTGTTTGGTCATCTACAATATTTCTCAAAATCATTATGATTCTATACATGAGTACGCTGCAGTTGATATAAAAAAGACGCTGGAGTTCCTCAATGACAATTTTATATATTGTTTTGCTCTGCTCCAAATTTGTATCGTTTCATTGGACTTTCGAGACTGAATACTGTTCGTTATCTTCATATTTTATTTGAGACTCTGTCCCCCTATTAGAAGACCCAGTTTAGCATTCTTATAAAATAGGATTTATTCAAGACTTCAACATGAAAATAAGAACTTCAATTCTCTTCCTCTGATATATATCTACGATTTTATGAATACAATATTCATTTAAATCCATACCTTGATTCATTATATACCACTAAACTCGGAAATAAAAGACACGATAGAATTTGAAACATATGATGCTTATTTGACTGTTTAACGAGACAGAGACATTGTTGACAAACTATTTAACTTTCTGATAAACGTACTGACTTCAAGTTCTCTATCGTTAACTTTCTTTATCTATGTTATATTATACCCTTAGCACCTGCATATGATATTTATGTTTCCCAGTTTATTCAATAGGCAAGAGCATGTTCTACGTGCAATGAATTTCAAAGCCAAAGCAGTCTGTTGTCAAATAAGTTCATGTTAACAGGCATCAGCAATCTCGTTGTGGGGA